CAAGAGAACAGGTGCAGTCTGTAAGGACTGACTTGTGTTCAGTGAAGCTTCTCTTAAAAGAGAAAAGGATGAAAAAAATAAATTCACATGGAAGACCAGCGTGTAACAACGGAGTAAACTAAGCCAGACAAGCTGCGAGGCTGCTGACACGGGGAGACAGTTGGAGGTTGGACCAACCTTATTAAGTCAAGTGTTTTGCCCGGGGACATGCGAGGAATCAGCCCACACGCGCATGAGCATCCACGCCCAGATGCATGCACACACCGCTGGAACACACAGCGGGGTGCAATTTTAAAGCGGGAAGAAAAGGGAAATAACAGAATGCCGTGACGTCAGCCTCTCTCACAGTATCCACTTTCCAGGAGAGGACACTTATTCAGCGGTGCATTGTTTTGTTTTCTCTCTCTAGCTTTCGTCCAATCGGTGCTGTTGAGGTCCCGAATGAAAGAGGAAGCTCCTGAGAATGTTCGTGGAATCCGTTTTTCTGTAAACTTGCCACATTTTCCCAGAGATTTTAACGATGGGAGACGGTCCAATGCTTCATTATCTCCACTTTCCACGCCAGTGACCCCCCCCCCCCCCACACACACACACATCTATAATTATCACACATGGACTGGGCTTTCAAAATGAGGCATTAGGGCCGAGTTAAATTGAATTACATCACCACCTCCCACTTTGATGGTCGGCTTTTAACTTTGCAGGCGCGCTGACGGTAAGCCTGTCATACGGTGGCTGCTGTGTAACAGGATTGCGGGGCTGTAGCGCTACAGAGTGTGAAAGAAGCGGGGCCTCCTCACCGTAGTTGCTGCAGTGAGGGCGATGGCGGTTGGGGAGAAGCGTGCCGTAGACGGTGGCGGAGGTAGAACGAAGAGCTGCAGCACCCCCCCCAAACAGAGGGCAGGGACACACTGACGCACGGCAAGGCCATGGGAGGAAGTGTTTTCTGGGTTCTTATTGGTGGTGAAGCCGGTTCTTCGTGTCTGTGTTATTTATAGTATCGATGGCGCACGGATCGACACCATATATCGGACACACGTTTGTGGACATGTGTGAGGTAGACTCGTATAAAGACCACAGAGAGCAAAACAGAGAGTCTCTGTTTTTTTCTTTAAGAGAGAAGAAGAGGAAGAAAGAGAGACAAACAAGGAAAGCAACTAATGAAAAAGGCTTGTAAAAGATAGAGTAAGGATAAATTGCCGGGACGGAGAAGAAGGGGAAAGGACCATTGCCATAGCAACAGCGGTATTTCTGCCATCCAGCAATAACTGCTCGATGTCACATGCCGACTCTTGGTCTTATAATCAATTTAAAAATAGGAAAAAGATATGCAGGAAGTCTGTAAAACCTGGCTTTGTGACGTAAAGCCCACAGAAAAACAATGCCTTTAGTTTAGAAGCTGGAAACTGAACAGCTGAATATTAAAATCATGGAACTGTGGAACCAGCAGTTCAAAAAGTCCTTTTCGCCTATTCCTAGACCACACATTTAGAGACGGCAGCAGTCACATGACCACAAAAACAGATTCTGTTTGTTCGTCAAAAGAGTGGTCCTGGATTGGCTCGAGTTAAGCAAGCTGGAGAGTCAAGTAACCGGCTGTCTGTTTCTCCCACCGGCAGTTGGCACCTTGCACCCGTCTGCGAATACTGCAGCCGTGGTTAAGAGTCGCATTAACAAGAAGTGAAACTGGCGAGTGGACTTTTTATCCCAGCTACAATAACTCCCTCCTCGCCGAGCGTTCAGCGGGTGCTGTGATCAGGTTCACTCGACAGACAGGCTCGCCTCGGGGCATCAGGAATAATTAGCTGGAATCAGCCTCACATCAATCACCCGACTCATAGGTCGTCACCTTCTGCATGACCTTACATGCTAAACAGGCCGCTATCACAACCTGTCGCAAGGCTCAGTGGAGAGGGAGAGGGGGAGGGGGAGGGAGAGACTGACGAGGATGTTATAGACGCGAGTACAAAGGAAGATCACGACGGCGAGTTAGGCAGACCAAAAAAGAAAAAAAAAAGGTGCGAAAAACAGGTGCAAGCGTGCGTACTGTTGCCTTTTCCCACCATCTATCCCCCTCAATTAAATCCAGTTTACTTCTGACAAACAGTCCCAAAGTTTCATATCACACGAGCATGAAGAGTGGAACTTAACGCGGCCTATTGCACTCTGCCTACATGACAACACTAGCAAGCCTGCAAAACAAAGTGGAGGGAGCTAGAATGCAAAGTTATGCACTAGGTCTACCAATCACACGCTGACCAACACGGGCTCGCACACACACACACACATACACACACACACACACACACACCTGTGGACTCCAGAGAACGGCGGTGCTGACATGTCGGGGGGCTTGGCCCAAAAACATGGCTGCCCCTGCAATTAATTACACCGCTCAAGTGAGGAAGCTGACCGATGGATCATCCCGGCCCCCATCTTCCTCCGAGCTGAAGGACGGTCGGTCGAGTTTCTCCTTTACATAAGGGGGCGTCGTCCCCGCTGACGGCATCCAATGGCACGTGAGGGAATTTGGATGTCGAGTGTTATGCGTGTCACGGGCGATGACCTCTGCTTCGAGGACAAGGAGCTTCATCCGTCTTGTCACCTTCCTCTTAACTAAAAACTGCAAAAAAAAATGTACTACTGTGTACATGAAATGTGGAAGCAGTGACGTCAGTATTTCTAATCAGACATATATAATCATGCGCAAACAATATTATTTATTTTTCTCCCAGAAATATTTTTACGGTGCAGTACGCTTCCATCAGATGGTGGCGATTCTTTTATGTTATTTTTGTATTCTCATCTATATCTCATCCTTTGCTGCTGCAATGACCCAATTTCCCCACGGGGATCATTAAAGTTTCATCTTATCTTATCGTATCTGCCCCTAACCCCCCCCCC